ACAAATTATATTCTGCACGTTATATCCACGAGTTCATCATAGTGTCACTTGGATCTTGTTATACAGTATATATTTATGGGCTCTAGTGCGGAAGGTGCATAAGGATTAGAGGAAAGAGTCAATACTTCTAATAGGCATCGAGGGAAGCGTTGTCACGAAAAAAAATGCCCGCAATTCAAAGATAAAACCGCCCACGTAGACAAATCAAATCCAATCCCTTGGACAGTGTCATACGTTATAATCAGAGATACACCCGAGGTGAAATGTATATTACGAATTCAGAATAAAATGTTTCATTCTTAGTTGTATTTGGATCTTTATCACTTTCGTCATCTTACATGACTATCTCATGGAAAAAAGGTATTTTAAATTTATTTTTCCAAAAGTGTTTCTAACGCCGCAGATGTTTCCTGTTTTACACGTGTCCCGAAATATTATGGAGAAGTAAAACATGTTACAATTCTAGCCTTCAGACAAACAACAATCTTGCTAACTTTTTTCATCAATAAATAACCCCCACCCCCTTGCAAGTAAATTCTTTACTACATGATCATGATCACCCATTTAGGACGCTTTTTAAATTAATATGACGGTTGATCATAGCTGATCAAGAAGACATAGTTGATCAAGAATATGGATAAAAATCATCAGTTTAAAAAAGCACGATTCTGAAGAAGCAGCACTGATTAGCAACTGAAAAATTTCTTTACTTGGGTGCATGTTTTGATTGTTTATTATTTGTAGAACTACAACCTTTTCTAGCAACTTCAGAAATGAGAAAGTAATGAACTACTTGTCCAAAAATGAGAAAAGAAAACCATATCGATTGTGTGAGTTTTCAGATCGGAATATAAAGAGCACAAATTATGCAAGATATTATGAAAAAATTAAAACAGTCTAAGTTCTCACGTGCAAAGAAAGAGCTACGATTAAAGCTAAATTAAATTCCAACAACGTCTATGAATCAGCACAGTTTCTTAAACTATTCACACGAGTCTCTTTTCTTCTTTTTCAAAACAGCTCCAGGGTCATCAACTCTCTTTCTTTTCTGTTGTAGCCGAGATAAGTTCCTCCTGACCTGAAGTGCCCTTACATGTTCTTGACCATATTTGGCGATATAAATTACCGATGCACGATCAAGACAGTGCTTGGCCTCTTCGAACTCGCCCAGGCCATTGTAAATACTACCCAGTTTGTGGTAAGAATGTGCGACATCGACATGTTCAGGTCCCAGCTTTTTTAGTGTAATCTCTAATGCATGCTTATGGTAGTCTTTTGCCTGATCTGTTTCGCCCAGCGTGTGATGTAAATTACCAAGACTGAAGTAACAGGTTGCAACATTAACATGTTCAGCTCCCAGCTTTTTCAGTTGAATCTCTAGTGCACGCTTATAGCGTACGATGTAAATTACCAAGATTGTTGCAACAGGTTGCAAAGTCAACATGTCCAGGTCCCAGCTTTTTCAGTTGAATCTCTAGTGCACGCTTATAGTAGTCTTTTGCTTGATCTGTTTCGCCCAGCTCACTGTGTAAAACACCAAGATTTTTGTAAGTGTTTGCAAAGTAAACATGTTCAGGTCCCAGCTTTTTCAGTTGAATCTCTAGTGCACGCCTGCAGTGGTCTTTTGCTTAATATTTTTCGCCCAGCTTACTGTGTAAATTACCAAAATTTCCGTAGGTTCTTGCAACGTCAACATGTTCAGGTCTCAGCTTTTTCAGTTCAATATCTAGTGCACGCTCATAGTAGTCTTTTGCTCGATCTGTTTCGCCCAGCTTACTGAGTGAATCACCAAGACTGTTGTAAGTGCTTGCAACGTGAACATGTTCAGGTCCCAGCTTTTTCAGTTGAATCTCTAGTGCACGCTTATAGTTGTCTTTTGCTTGATCTGTTTCGTCCATTTCACTGAGCGCATCAACTAATCTGTTGTAATATTCTGCCTTTGCTTGGTCCGTTCCAACGTAACTCAAGTCAATCGGTGTTAACAGCAATTTACTGTAGATTCCCGCTGCTCCAAACTCACCGTGGTCTCGGCACATTTCACTAAGGCTCCAAAGGCCACCGGAATAATTTATAAAATTTCGGCAACTTAAGATTCGCGAGGAGCGATGTCGTGGCTAGGTTTGGGAGGGAGAATGCAAAATGGAGAGACATTGGAAAGTAATTTTTCTTCTAAGGCAAGCCTCTTCTTTTTGTTGAAGTTCCTGTCCTTTCTCTTGAAGCTCTTCTAGTTTTTCTTCTGTTTTGTTCCTTCTTCAAGAAGTTCCTTGTCTTTTTCTAGAAGTTCCTTTTTCTTTTCCTTAAGTTCTTGTTTCAACTCGTCAACCTTCCTTAAAACTTCGTCTAACTTCTATGTGGAGAAGTTTGTTTGATTTTTAATGTGGGGAGACCGAGTGCGGTGAATACAGTTTTAACTTTTAAAATAACTTTTTGGAAATCTCTGTCGAAGAGGTGGCTCCGTGGCATATGTGCAAATTCTTTATTTCGAAATTTCCTTAGGTCGTCCACATTTGATCTGTTCGATGGATTGAGATACACAATCTGAATACCGGATAGCGTAAAACAGCATGGTACAATCCCATTTAGCTGTGTCGCCATTCTTCATGATTTTCAACAGCCGCGCGTTTCTCCTTCTGTTGGAAAGGGGCTCGCCACTCCAGAAGTCCATTCCATTTTGGTTTGATCTTTCCATTCTCCCAGTGTTGTCTTGTATCGATTGTCCTATTCTTGTTTGAGGATGGTTCGCAGACCCTCAGTTAGTATGTCAGTGACCACGTAACAAATCCTGTAGTAACTCAGTTGTGGTGTACTTCAATACAGTGGCCATTATCAGTTACATCCTATTAAAACCATAGTTATGTTAGTACCCAATTCGGTTATCTCGGTGGGTCGCTATACTTTTGCTGATCCTTTAACAGTTTTGCCGTACTTTTTTGAATACTTATTTACCTACCAAGATATTTTCGCTGATGCACGTCAATTATATACTAGACAGGAAGGTGAGGGCAATTTAAAAAAATCTCGCTTTCAAAACAATTTGCTTAATGGAGTCAGAGGCTAATAGAAGGGAGGAAAAGAGAGTGATAAAGATTCACTGTCACCCAAAACGTCAGTATAATACAGAGAAGTGTTTAAAGCATTGGGGATACGGTTTATGTGTGAAAGAAACAATCTTCTTGCTTCCTTATTTGTTAATTTGTTTGTTTCTTTCAGTACTCACTTGGTCCCACGATAGGTATTTTTTTTCGAGACACAGTCGACCTCAAATACGGAACTCTACAGATCTCGCCTGATCTGCCCCCTTCGCATACAAGAGAGGGAAATTAGGTTAAAATGTTGACACTGAATCATTCAGCAGAACAAAATTAAGCCGGGAACTGATGGTCAAAGTTAAGGATAGGGGAATTTTTAAGCTGTACAGTTATCGTCTTCTACTGAGCTGACATTTTTTTTCAGCTTGCGAGGTAATTATTGATGGTACTCTTACAAAAGCTACACTGCAAGTCTCCTAGCACCCTATTCGAATGTCTCAGCTCGCTCGCTAGTGATTAATCAAGGATCACTTTTCACTGAGTTCAGGTATACTGGCATAAAGTTAAAACTAACCATCACTCTTACATAAATACAGGAGAAGTTCGCCAATCCGATCTCAATGACACCTAAAGATATGTTGGCTGAAGTCCTACACTCCTGGTAGGATCACCCGTGCCGAACAGGTCGAAGGGTAAAAACCAGACAAAGAGTGATCCCCTGGTCCTCCAGTTGGAGGTTGGGCGCAGGGTTAAGACCCTACCCCGCAGAAAGAAACACATGTTACAGAAGCCGGATACATTAATGATACAATTCAAAACGAGGGTGTTGCTGCCGAGGCCTTAATGACGCTCTTGAGCCAAAGCCTGCAGGAAGCCTAAAGGCCGATAGGCCCCATGATAGCCCCCAAGAAACAGATCACCATCGGTTTTTTGAACGTAAGAACCTTGGCCGGGGCAACACGAACAGTGGAAGTTGCCAAGAGATTACAGGATGTGGAATTGTAGAAAATAGCAGAAAAGGCCGATGAGAATAGAGTAGGAACGAGGAGCAAAACAGCATAACCAAGAAAATAGCCGGGAACTGAGGAGGCGAGAATTGCGTGTGAAAATTGCTACCCATTATCAGTAGAATATTCCACAGGGTGCTGCTAGAACGGATCAAGAAAGGTATAGACAAGAAGCTTAAAAAGAGCAGGCTAGCTTTAGACCAAATGGAAATACAACAGATCTTTGCATTAAAAAAAACATCTTAGAGCAAGCAAACGACTGGAGGTCGAGTCTGTACACGCACTTTGTGGACTTTGAAAAAGCCCTCGATTCGGTACACAGAGAAAGCTCGTGGAACACCAAGGGGCAGCTATGGAATTCCGCACAAGATGGTGAGAGTGGAAATGGGCATATACGGAGGGTTTGAATGCGCAGTAATCGACAGATTTGAGATATCAGACTGGTTCAAGATTTAGTCAGGAGTAAAGCTGGGACGCGTAATGTCAGGATTCTTATTCCTACTGACCATGGGTTGGATCATGAGGAAGACAACAGCAAGACAGTGAGGACTGAGTTTGCAAGGAACAGTGAGAGCATTGTGGTGAGTAGTGAAGAAGTGAAAGATGTCGAAGAGTTTGCGTATCTTGGAGCTATTGTAGAAAAGAAAGGTGGAGGCAGTGAAGATATTAGGAACAATGCAGAAGGCACGAGGTGCATTCCAGAGGCTATGGAAGGTGTGGGCAGAGGAATAGGAAAGAGAGCTATGATATGCCTATTCAAGACTTTAGTCTGACCGGTCCTGTTACGTGGTTGTGAAATATGGAAGATCACAAAGACCGATTAAAGAAAACTGAACAGTATTCAGTACTAATGCCTAAGACGGATACTGAGGATTAGATGGCAATAAAGAATGACAAACAGGAGAGTAGTTGAAATGGCAGACACCAATAAAATTAGCTGCGAGGTAGGGCTCAGGAGAGAGGGTGAGAACGAATTTTTTGCGGTATTGGGGTGGACACCAGAATTTCAAAGAGCGAGAGGGAGACCAAAGACCACTTAGAGAGGGACTGTTGAAAGAGGAAAAAGGCAAGACGATATGGAAGAGCTGGATCGTGGCTGGGGCAGCGGCACGCGACAGTGGGGTTGGGCGGACAATGTGACGGCCTTATGTACCTACTGACCCAACGAACGATGATGATGATAATGACGATGATATTACACACCGCACGTCCCAGTTAACTTTAATTTACGTGATATCGTAGCCCGTAGTTTCTCGGTGAAAGGAAAGAAATGATTACTGTGAAGCTAGAGATCGGAAACAAAAATAAATTTAGAGAAAAAGTGTACCGAACTTGCGGGCTGCCCTCTACTCTCAATCGTCTAATCCTTGTTTTATTGTCTATCATCAACGTTCACCACGTCACAAACTTCGAACGTTCTCTATTCTCGTTCTAGAAGTTTGACAAAACTTGGGGAATACTTGAACTGTCTGCAATCAAAGTTTGAACAATTTAGAATCACGTGCTTTTAAAGCTGCATAAGCAGCAAAGTATTCGTAAGTTCTTTTTTTATATCATAAGCAAAAAACTCAGGCACTGTGTTTGGTTCTTACCTAAGATCTATTATATAACACAAATAGAATTCATGTTGCCCGGGTTCTTAAAAATAATAGATCACAGACGACGTCACAAATGTGGTAAGAACATCAGTGACATACTCAGTCTACACCCTGCAGGTACTATACATTAGTCAACATTATTTTCAAACTTCTTTCGCCCTACGAAAGTGCAGAAAATTCGTGGCTTACTTGAGAGGGAGCTAATCCAGAAGATCATAGTTTACGAGCAAAAAGACTTTGAGAAATTTGCACTCAGCCGAAAGATTTCAAGAAGAAACTCAAAATGACGGGTAGACTTCAATGAATATAGCCTTAGTAACTTCAATTACTCTTGATTCTTTGCCATGAAATACAATGAGACATTGACTGAGATTTGACTCTTTCTATCTATTTTGGACGGGTTTCTAATATTTATTTTAAGATCGCCGATGAATAAACAAAATTAATAAATAAACGTTAAGTATGGAACCTGTCTTTGCTCAATATGCCCTGTTCTCTCCTGTGTTAATCTAATAACTCGCATATTAACTCAACAAACCCTTTTCAGCGAAGTGCGAAGCAACATTGTTGAATGACACCTTAAAAGAGCCCCCTTAGTCCTCTTGCTGGCGAGGCTTTTAAACAAGGAAGGTTGTTATTTTCATTTCCTTTCTCGCCGCCTCAGTTATTTCAGTTATATTGTGTGGAGTTACGTTTTAGTGATTACTTTTGGGTTCTTTATATTCATTTTGAGTGAATCAAAATTTGTCAGATTTTCGGGAGATTCAAATAAAAAAAAAATTAATTTAATTTCGTGAGCAGAAATTTCAAAACCCTATCAAACGATAAATACTTCCTTATAAGCATATTGAACAGTCAAATAGATAAATACCGAAAAAAAGACAAAAACCGAAATTTTTGAGATCGACATCCGAGTCCCCACCGATCTTTTGATCGACGGTCGTGGTTTTATTTCACTTTCATTTAAAGAAAACTCCCTTTCTCAGAAAAA